TTTCCGCAACCCCTTGGGTATAGTCATTCCTTTCTTCAGCTCTTTGTATAGCTTCCAGAACACTCTGAAAGGCTGGTTTTGTGGACGTATGCCTTCCTGTGTGCCTATGATTAGTAAGTTTGGTCTTTTTATGGTGTCACACAATTCCTGCATATTCCATTCTTGAGATTTCTTTAATTTTTCTTAATCTTTGCTTGACTGGTCTAGTTCTTCCACTTTATCTTCCAGTCTTGATACTCTGTTTTCCATTTCATTCATCCTATAGGTGAGTGAGGCTTTCTCCTGTCATTTCTAATAGGCTTATTGAGTGTTTCACTTCCTTTTTCATTTCATCCCGAGTATTCTTCAATATTTCTAACTCTTTTCTGAATTCATTCAGGAGTTGATTCCTATCTTCCTTCTGTTCTTTGATTTCTTTGTTTGTGTGTTCTTTAAGTTCACTCAATTCTTTTATCATGTTTTAGAGGATTATTGTTATTTGGTGGGGAAATGTTATTTTTGTTTTTCATGTTATTTTTTCTCTGTGATTTTACATGTTTATTTCTTTTGTAGTTTCTGATTTTTGTGTGAAACTCAGGCCTTCAAGTTTAAGTCTGCTTCTTTTTGTGAACTTTATGTGTCTTTGTGGTTTAGTTTTTGGGCATGAAAAGCTTGATATTCTAAGCTTCTGGTTCTCTCTTTTGATTTTATTTTGGAGTGGCCAGACTGCTTTTGTCTGCAGTACTTCCCACAGAGGCCCAAGTCAGATGAGGATCAAATGCTCTCGGGCTTTCTCCAAAGGTCTTGGTCCCTCCAGGAAAGAGTTTTGCCTTAGGAACTTAGGGGTTAGATTGTTCTGAGAGCCCGGCCTAGGAAAGATGCTGGTCTTGGGCATCTGGTTGCTGTTCCAACCAGAGATGCAAAGGAAGAGGCCCCAAGGGCTCCTGGGGGACTGTACTGAGGAATTGGGTTGGTCTAGATGCAAAGGGTCAGGAAGCCGAAAGGTCAGCCCCGGTGTCCAGGAAAGAGGCTGGCAGGTTGTCCAGCCCAGGGGAACCGAGGGAGGTGAGGGCGGGACCAGGTCCAGAGTGCTCCTGGCGACCTGGAGAAGGACCTGGGTCCCTCTAGATGCAAGGGATCAGGAAGCTGAGGTGGCCTGGGACAGAGAGGTCAGCCCCAGCTTCCAGGAAAGAGGCTGGTGGGCTGTGCAGTCCAGGGAAGCAGAGGAAGGTGAGTGTGGGACAAGGCCCAGAGAGCTCCTGGGGACCTGGAAAAGGAACTGGGTTGGTCTGGATCCAACAGATCAGGAAGCAGTGGTGGTTCCTCCCATGTCTGGGGTGCCAAGACAAGGAACGGGACAGCACCCAGGCTAGGAGGACATATGGGTGGGTTAGATGGGAGGGTGAATGAGGCTGGGGGAGTCAAGGCACCGAGGGCATGATCGACTTACCTAGGAGCAAGGCCAGTGTGTCTGTAGGCCCAGGGAAGTAGAGGGAAGTGAGGGTGGGATCAGGCCATGAGGGCTCCTGGGTCCATCTGGATGTAAGGGATCAGGAAGCAGTGTTGGCCTTGGGTGGACAGGTCAGCCCCATTGTCCTGGAAAGAGGCTGGTGGGCCATACAGCCCAGGGAAGCAGAGGGAGGTGGACAAGTTTGTTTTGTTTTACAGTAATAATATATAGTATATACCTTGCGTCTGTTATGGTCCAACCTTACTACGTAAAAAAAAATTTTTTTTGTCTAGTGATTTTTGTTTCACAGAGACTGCATATCTTAATGGATAATATACATTTGTAAATTATTAACATTGCATATTCTGTGCTTCATAATTGAAGCTATCATTTTTATTCTGATAGGCTCATAGCTGGCAACGTGGAATAAAAAATCCATACCATGGTGTTGTTGTTTGGCCTGTTCCTGAAAACACTGAAATTACTGTAACACTTTTTAAGGTAAGTTCTGTTTTTATAGTTTAAGTTCATAAGTTATAATTTGTAGTTATATATGCTTCTAAAGGACAGATTATTTTCACTATTATTGTTCAGAACATTTGTGTCATATCTCATGCCTGATTGTATCTGTTTTGTGACATTCCTGAGAAGATGTGAATTAATGTCTACTCACCCCAGGCAGGGATGGCTGCTCATGATAACAGGAAACCTGGAGGGTAGTACACAGCTTGTGAGTGCCTCAACTGGTTAGAGAGAGTCCTTTCCAGGTAGCTCAGCTAGGCTCTGTCTCTTTCAGGCAGCTCTTTTGGCCTTTACCTTTTCCAGGTAGTTCAGCTTGGCTCTTCTTCTTTCAGGCAGCTCTACTAGTCTGAGCCTATTCTAGGCAGTTCACCTTGTCTGAAAGTCTGTCAGCAGCCCTTAGGACTTAATATATGCTTGGGGAGGCAGGAACTTAGTGATGCTTGTAAGTTTCAGGACTTCCTAAAGATATTAAGTTGTCTCCTTGCTTTAGGAGCTTCCCTGCAGGATGGAATGTTCTCTTCTTAGAACACCCTGTTCTTTACTTCTTCTAGTCTGAGCCTATTCTAGGCAGTTCTCCTTGTCTGAAAGTCTGTCAGCAGCCCTTAGGACTTATATATGCTTGGGGAGGCAGGGACTTAGTGATGCTGGTAAGTTTCAGGACTTCCTGAAGATACTAAGTTGTCTCTTGTGCTTTATGAGCTTCCCTGCAGGATGGAATGTTCTCTTCTTAGAACACCCTGTTCTTTACCTCCCTTTAGAACAACATACTGTTGTTTTGCCTTGGAAGAAATTGCCATATAGCTGCATAGTTTTCAGGGATATAGCAGTTTATAACATTGTAAAGGCATCACAGTGTTTCAGGGTCTATAAAGTCTGAATACTGTGCTTTTAGTGTGGAAAATTGAGGTTTGTAGTGTTGATGCAAAAACAGAACTCTCACTTAAAATGGAATAAGACATAATTTATTCTGGAACCAAATATAAATGACTATGGCCCCGGAACACAGATTTAGATCACCTCAAATTTGATATGCCAACATGGAAGCAGTTTCATGAAGTTTTTATAGTAACAGAACAAAGAAAGTCATGAATCAAGGCAAAAACGTACTTTGCCATAAATACAAAGTAGGCAGTCACAACAAAGTGGAGAAATCTCAGCTATAGGTCTTCAGATGCTATCTGATGACATTCTTAGCCTTTTGGTTGGTGAAAGACAGGGTTTTGTTGAATTAAAGGTTTTTATCAGTTAAGTCACAGGACGTTAGGTCAGACTGAGAGTTGGACAAAGAATGGCTGTTTGGAAGAGGGTAAAGACAGCCCAGGATACATTTAATTAGGCTCTGGACCTGCAACATTCCAACTTCTCCACAATTATTGAAATTCTAATAATTTATATTCAGGCTTTATAGAGGGTTCACTTGAAGGTATAATTTCCTTCTGGGAACATTTGTTCACACTACAATTCTTTTGTCTTTCCCATGATTTGTTTAGTATTGTTTGAGAACAATTAGCTTATAATTAGTAGTCAATACCTCTCTCCTACCCACAGGCCTCTCTCTGGAGTAAGTCTTTCATACCCTCTGCACCTTGACTCCCCCAGCCTCATTCACCCTCCCATCTCCCCCACCGTTCTCTCCCATTCCTTGTCTTGGGGCCCCAGATACCTGGGGGACCAATACTGCTCCCTGATCCTTTTCTTCCAGACTAATGTAAAATGTAATACCTTCTCTGGGCCCCAGGAGCATTGCTTCTGGGCGTGGCCCCACCCTCACCTCCCTCTGCTTCCCTGGGCCTGCACCACCCACCTGCTTCTTTCTGGGATGCAGGGACTGACCTTTCCTCTTCCTGGATCTTAGAACCAGACTCTGATAAATAAGTATGCTACCAGACATAACTACAGGAACCAGGATAATGGAAAGGAAACAGGGAGGTAAAGGAAAAGAAAGAACCAGAAAGAGAAGAACACTAGGAAACAGGCCTTAATAAGGGATTTATGGATAAAAATTGGGTTAGTTTAACGGAGGGTTGAGGGAAGGGTATACAAGAAACATAGGGGATAAAGGGAAAGAAGGAGCTCAAGAGAGGTAGAACCATAGGAGAAGGGTATTAATAAGGATGAAAGGGGGGGAATAGGGGCACCTTAAGAGGGAAAACCATGATGGAGGGGTGAGACAATGCGAGAGATAAATAATGCCTAGCTAGCTTTGAAAACCAGATGGAACCATATTACTCCAACACCCTACTGACAAATTATACATAGCAGATCAAGAAATATAT